ACACTTCACAATGCTAAGTGATCCCATCGAGTTGAGTTGCCATTATCTTCAGACGTCGTTAATCATGAGTTCATGAGTCTACACAAGTCCAACAGAATACCGTCATTCCCCTCTGCCCTCTCAGAACAGTTCGCTCGATTGTTATTCTTGATATCCAAGACCCGAATTTAGTAACACAATGAACTGCAGTCGGGCTGCATTTGGTTGTATTGGAATCCTATAGTAAAAGGACACGTCCATTTAACCAGTATCTACTTGAAAGGCTATGCACGCTTCGCGAGCCCGGCTACGTAGAATTGATCATGTTGTTCGAGAGAATACAAAGCATAGAAGGTCATTTTCTCCCAGTCCATAGGGCTCTCATCCAAATTACGCGTATAAACCGAAGCATAACGTAGTCGGCCATCGGAGCACTTCAGAGGAATGAGATGACGATCGTACCACTGAGGATAACCCTCAAGCAAATCTAGTGACTGTAGACATGGACGGGTAACAGCGAAGATCTCTCTGATCGAGAACGAAGAGTATCATTAATTCAATTGATATTCACTAGAGCTTCTTACCCTTGGATATTGTGGCCTATACCTTCTTGGTTTATGAGAAAGGGTATTCCGTAAGTCCCCTCAATCACTAGCGGGTACTTCTCAACAGTTTCTGCCGTTGCTGGAATAACCATAACCATGCAGTTGTAGACTCAAGGACGTACCGATGAACTCTGCTCCTAACTCGGGCCGTAAATACCTCTCCCAGTTATAGAATCCGCGTTTCAATGTGCCATAGACAAAAACGAGATCAGTGGCACTGTTTTCGGATTCTTCCATCATAAATGATACTTGATCAAGGAAGCTGAGTGGAACAGTATAAATGCCTCAACCTAATCTATCACCTAACGATATATCCGTACATGATAACAGTATAAGCTAAGAGTGAGATCAGAATCTGAGCATTTGAGTGAGAGAGACTACAAATGTTTCCTCTCATACGACTCTCCATTTCTGTGCAGCACCTCAACTGGTATTTTCGAGGAAATACTCGATAGCCGAGTAGTCGTCGCATCGCACTCGGCAACCCGTTATCTGCCAAGCGGCTCAAGCGCCCACCCGGCATAAGCAGGGCGACCCAGGTGATTATCCAGCACTGCCTGGATAATCACCTATAGTCAGGCATTGGTTAAGCGTTATGTCTTTACGCAGGATCACTCTGAGTGTACCTTTGTGATCTTAGCATTTCCACTCATCTGTTTAGCGTAAACAACCGAGAATGATTATCCTTGCACTATTGATGTTGGCTGCGCTCTTGCACAGTTTGCGCATATACAAGAGGCTTTTCTGCGCCTTGAGTGAAGTTTAAGTTTTGGAGTCAACTCTGGCACAACAAGTAGGTTGGTAGTCCTTCGAATCGCACAACATTGTGAGGCTTTCCCCTGGCGTCTCTTGCATCGCATCACTGAGGGCCGGATCAGCGATGCAAGTTGTAGCTCATCAGTACACACCGATAGAGAGCACTAGTTGTTGTGTGCCTCAGTTACTCCAACACCAAGAGGAACCGAAGGCGCGGAGAACTTTTGTGTATGCGTGCAGCTGCGTAGAACGCATAGGACATAGCAAATAGTAGACAGCGCACTTTGGACAGACAGTACTAAGTATATCGTTCTCAGTTCCTGGCATCATCACGCTATATAACTAATATATAATAGAGCACGTATACATTCTGTGATATAATCCTGTAATATTGTACCCAACAAAGCATGCAGGTACGCACAAGTCGTGCGTGCAGAGATGAGGGTAATAAGCCAGTAACAAGCTAGTTCTCCCTAGCGCAACAGAGATGAGCATTCTCCGGACTCGTTCGTTCTTCTCAAGAGCTTATGCTCTCTGAGGGCAGATCTTAAGATCTACTCTAATGATCTATTCGTTCCGAATCAGTTGCACAGACATGTCATGATTGGTACTGCAATGTCGTACGAGATCAGATTACAATACTCATTCAGTCGAGTAATGCCGCCTACTTCAGTGTGCTACCCGCCAATAACGAGTCCTCACTACCGGTGCGAGGTTTGGTCAACTAGGCATAAATCAATCCGTAGCGGAGGCCGAGTGGAACGTCCATAGCGTTCTCATCTACCAGGCAACTATGACTCAACAATAACACCATCCAGTGAAACTGCCACCTGTTCATCGATCAGATCTGATCGAGTTGAGTAAAAACTTTAACTATGAGACTAGAACAGACTAGAAGTGCTTCGTCAGGCTGCTCGACTCATGCACGACTGTATATCTCGTCCGCACTAGCAACCAAGGTGAGAGAAGTGACTCGATAATCTTCGCCGTGGGAGGGTTCGGAGACACGAGCCTATGAGACCAGCGGCTTCGGACGGCTTGCTATGCGGGCATAGCTGAATCCTGATTGATACCTCGAGCTTCATATCATCGTTGGTCGACCTCGATATCACACCTTCAACCACTTGAGTAGCGTAAATCATTGACGTCACGTCGACAGTTCCAACGTTAGATCAGACACTTAGGTTACGATTCTATGAGGTGCGTTTCGGAAGTGAGGCTTGTGCGCAGACTACGTGGAAGATGCAAACAAGCAACACTTCCCTCAAGTTGAGCAGCCTCAAAGTGAGCAGACCCGAAACCAGACACATCTGCAAGGAGATATTTGTGCTCTGCATCACGATGTCGGTTGCAGGTACAGATGTCCACATTCTGTGAAGTCATAGATGTACCATACAGTCTCCACACTTAGATGAGCCTTATGGGAACCAAGGCTTAGAACAACGATACATGTTGGGTAGTGAGTTAGAGTAACG